TTTTTTTTTTTTTTTTTTTTTTTTTTTTTTTTTTTTTTTTTTGCCAACCATTGCCAATGTCAATCAATCACAGTATTAGCCTCTGTTAATCTATTTACTGTCGCTTCCACATACACTCTTCAACGCATATGTTGCTCAAAGGTGGCAAGTTGTCCTGGGTTCCGTGAGTCCTGAGATGGATTTAATTCTTGATGCTGGTGCTAGAAGTAGGTCTTCAAATATGGGATTGTTGTCCCACCCCTGTACTGTACTCCCAGTGGCCAAACTTATTTATGCTGCTAAATGAAAGAAAGAAAAAAGCAAATTATTTTTTTTTATTTTTTTTCTGCTGTGACGTTTTAGTCCCAGACTGAATTCCAAATTTGCTCTAGTTTGGTTACAGAAAAAAGACTTTTTGCCACTGAAACTTGAACCATCTGTGCCTCTAAGAGGCTGAGAATGGGAGAGTTTCAGATAATAAAGAGTGAAGTTTGCCTGCAAGTAAAGAATTGAGAGTGTGTGCAAAGCTTATTTTCTTTTATCTGGGCAAAAATTAAAACACATTCCTTGGAACAGAGCTGTTGCCGCCTGTTCTGTGGAGAAACTTTTCTTTTTGAGGGCTGTGGTGAATGGATGAACGTACATAATAAAACTGACAAAATATTTTAAAAATATATAAAACAAATAAAGTTGCTGGTCAGTCTTAGTGTTTTACAGTATTTGGGAAAACAACTGTTACAGTTTTATTGCTCTGAGAAACTGACAAAGCAGAAACTATACAGTTTTTGTAGTAAAGGCGTCACATGCAAACAAACGAAATGAATGAAAAAGTCAAATGGTTTGCCTCATTCTCCAAGAGCCACAACTCAAGCTGAACTGTGAAAGTGGTTTAACACTGTATCCTAGGTGATCTTTTTTTCCTCCTCCTGTTTATTTTTTTTGTTTTATTTATAGTCTGATTTAAAACAATCAGATTCAAGTTGGTTAATTTTAGTTATGTAACAACCTGACATGATGGAGGAAAACAACCTTTAAAGGGATTGTGTCTATGGTTTGATTCACTTAGAAATTTTATTTTCTTATAACTTAAGTGCAATAAAATGTGTTTTTTCATGTTAGTATGCCTGTTTCTTCCACTGAAGTAAATAATACTTCATTATAAATATTTAGGGTTTGTCTCTAATCTTTAAGATCTCAAAGTCTTAGTTTCTTTGCATTCCCTGTAGTGTGACATAGAGATCGATACTTTCAGGCCTGTTTCATACAGCTGAAGTTAGAATAATGTGCCTAGAATGTAAATTGGGTTCATCGCCTTAGACTATAAAGGTGGACACTGCACTGTCCATTACTCTGGATAACACTGGATGTATAAATACAAAATCTGGGTCCCTCAAAGAGTCACAAAACTTTTGTGATGGTTACAACTGGAATTCCTATTTTTAAAAAAAGCTCATTTTTTTTAAAATGTGACCACATATTGAGTACTTACCAGGAATGTTCCCCGAGGTATCTCTGAAGGCCCACCCTCCCTGAGAAGTAGGTACTGTTCTCTCCTTGAAAGGTGAGAGCGGAACTGGCTCAGACTGGTTAGGTGAGCCAGCATTCACAGCCATGCTCTTTAAGGAGAAAGAGACCTAGAATTTTGACAGACTTTCCAAGAGCAGAGTTTTGGAAAAAATAAATCCTTCTGGTGGTACTTTCAGGCTCTTCTTTTGCTGTTTTAGTCAATAAATCTAATATTTTGTAATATGAGTGAAAAAATGAAGTTGAATTATTCAAATAATGTAGCCTCTCAGATTGCAGGTTCTGTCTCCCACTCACCTTGTCTGTATTTTTAACAGTTTATTTAATCCCTACATTTAGTCCCCAGGCCTTGGATAAAAATCGAAAACTTAATAACAGATGCTGCTTAGAGAATACAGTTCTCACAATCATAATGTGTGTTCTTTACTCCTAGAGCAGCAATTCTTGGGCCTCAAGTTCCCAGAGCTACTGAAGCCGAACATCAGGGAATGGGGCCCAAGAATCTGCATTTAAACTAGTTCGCCCAGTGAGTCATGTTCACAGCTTAGAACCGCTGCCTCAGATCCCTACCATTGCCCATTTGGTTTTTAGTCCCCAGCACGTTAACAGGCACAGGACCATCAGGGAGAAGTGACAGGTTAAAGGAAATGGCAGAAAAACCACATGGCTAAACAGGCGAAATCACTTTAGGTCTTGAGTGAGGGCCGAGTGGCCCTGCCTGCTTTAGAATAAACCAGGGCGTAGCCCAGAGCCATTACAACTGTTCACGTCAACAACCCCAAATGATCAAGAAGTTGTAATTCTATTCGGTAATCTTGAAACTGCTTGATTTTTCATAATACGAATGTGGCTTACTTGTACTATAATGAAAGGAGAACATCATCTTCAGCAATAAATGTACACTATAGAATAGAATTGGGCTTACAGGATTTGCAGACAAATAGGTGGAAATTCAAATCCCAGTTTTGTAATACTGTCTAGTTACAGGAATTTCACCAGATTTCTTGACCTCCTCTTCCCTCATCTTTTAGTATGTAGACAGTACCCACCTGCTAAGGTTATTGGAGGGATGAAAAGAATTGATATAAAGTATGTGACATCTGGTGGCACTTCAAGCTCAAAACATGGTAGCTACCACTAAAACTATAGGAAAAGAGACCCAGATAATTGTAACTTTCTATATTTGGGAACAATTGAATGTCTTCATGACTCATTCAAGTACGTAATAGAGTTTCTCTCTATATAGCAATTTATATTTTTTTAAGTGGAGTCCCATAGACTTCTCACTTGAGGCCTACAGAAACCCTGTGAGGTAGACTGGTATGGGGCACCTAGTGATTTTGTACACACTTTGGTGTTCACTAAATACTATTTTATGAGTAAATGAATAATCTTTTCTTGCAGTGGATTTGTTCCTGAAAGGGAATATTTTAAGCTAGTTCTATAGGAATTAAATTATTGTCAGCGTGGTAAGAAAGGTCATGAAGGGAACCCTGCTTTGTGGCCTCCTCAGTGGAGAAGTTCACCACCTTATGTAACTGAAGTTTTAAATCTTCACACCCGAATACCGGCAGTTCCCACATTTAGGTGTTACAAGTTCCTAAAGAAGAAACACTGCCTGAAACTAAAGCTAAAATTAGGACACAGAAGTAACCCATAAAGGCCCATAACAGATGCTCAGTAAATACTCGTTGAATTGAGCAAAGGCAACTTACTGTCTTTTTTCAAATTATTATTGGAATTACTTATAATTTTGATGCTTTGAAACTCCCTTCCTGATATTCAGTAACCACAGCTATTTCATCAATTGACAACAACCAGTGCATACCAAATGATTAAGTAAATGTTCCAGCTCACCTATTTAATTTCAAAAAGTAATTGACATTCAATTGTATGTACTGTTTTTAAGACACTTTTTCTATGCCTTTTGAGCTAGTCTGTTTTAAAGTCTCCTTTCTATTTATCCAAATTGATCGGAAGCTACAATCAAACACCAAAAATGATTGCTTTTCTCCTCCCCGAGTGAAACAGGAAATCAAGGGCAGCCTCCCCAGACCCAGGCTGTGTCTTCCTTTTAGCACGCTTATCCCTGACACGCTCACTGCACTTGGTGAGACAGAGGCAGAGGAAGGAGCCTGCCTGACCCCTTCTGCCCCCTGTAACTCCTCCCATTCCAGATTTTAAACCAGGTACCAACAGGTCTGTGTGGCATTTGTGGTTCACGTGACATCGTTTCCTGAATCCTCTCTGACCCAGCTTTATTCATTTTCCTTCTATTACCTGTCCTCCGCCCCTGATAAAAATCGGTCAGGATTATAACCTATAGTCCATCAGATTCATCAGCCAGTAAAGGATTCAGCCTTGTGCCTTCAGCAGCTCTAGGAGAACCTCCTGTTTGTAGAGCCATTCTACTGATGGTAAAAGGAGTTTAGTGTTGCTGATGAATTAATTTGAATAAATGCTTCTGGCACAGGTGGTTTCATGTTCTCTGCCTTACTGCATTTTGAAGATCTCTCATCTCTCTCTCTCTCTCTCTCTCTCTCTCTCTCTCTCTCACACACACACACACACACACTCGAATATACTGGAAACACTGAATAGACCACATGTTCTCAGTCATAATAACATCACTTCCTACAAGTCTTTTCCCTTTTCATCCATGAAAAAAAGAATAGGCCATATAAAGGGAAGGTGTTGGTAGCCAAGAGGAGATTTCCCAAGTTTTTTCCAGGATAGATCAGTGGCTGAAGAGGATCTGTGTGTGTTCACACAATGTTCCGAGAGTCCTCCATTAAGCAACTGTATGGTAATTTGAAAAGTTGATGCCTAATTTTTGATATGGACATTTTCTCCTGCCCCATGAGATGGATTTTGAGTTAGATTCAAAGTGGCTGCACCCAGCCCCCTTTCCTTGGGAGTGCCTAGTCATTGATTTGAATTGCAAACAGAAATAACATGGCATCATTCACTAGGCAACGTGTTTCATTACCCATTTGGTTAATACAAGTGGTGCCCAAATACGTGAGGGTCTCTCCAGCTTCGTCCTTCCACCACCTTCTCTTTCTGGATAGAGGAGACCAAAAAATATAAAAGGTAATTTCAAAGGTTCTTCAGGGAAAGGGAACACCAAAAATTGAAAGGACTCAGAATGTACCTTTCCCCAAAGTGTAAAGTATAAATAAATTCTAGATCCAGTTCCTAGGAAGACTCGTTGCTGAGACGAAAGCCTGGCAACGTCCCGATTTGCAATTGGGTATAAAAATAGCAGAGTTTCTATTTCAGATGATCTGATTCTCCCCAGGATTTTTAAGGACAAGGA